AATATGTGTTCTTCAAAATTTTCAATAAGCCATGCTGAATATATAGATATTAAACTTCATATACGTAATAATAAACGTAAAATATCAAACTCTGCTGCTGCATCTAGCTCGTCATTAAAGAAAATCTTCCAGCAGGAGAAAATGGGTGGTAAGGAAGAAGAATTAGCTAGATGGTACTTCTGCATACCATACTATTTGCCAGAATCATAGCTTGATGTTTATTAATACCATCCAAGCTGCTTCAATTGGTATTTGACTTTCAATTTACATGTGCATGAAACAAGGCTGAAGCAATACTGCATACCATACTATTTGCCACAACCATAGCTTTAGGTTTATGGATTGTCCGTCCAAGCAGCTTCATTTGATATTTGAGCCTAAATTTATATGTGCAATGACCCAAGGCTGAAGCCATATAATGCTAAATGTTTTCCTGCCTTATGCTTTAAGAATTTTGCACAGTTATTTGGAAAAATAAAATGTTCATTTGTTTTTCTCTTAACTCATGCATCCAATAACGAGGAAATAAAAATTTTTCCTGTACTTGTTAGATTCATTTATAGATTGGAGTTATGGAGTTAGAGTAAAAAGTTTAGAATTTAAATCTTTATCTGGTGGAACATTCAATATTTTCATCAACTATTTATCTACCTGTATTGAAGAAAATTTTAAGAGAAAAAGTTGTTGGTGTTTGTGTCGATAATATGAATTTTATCTTTGAAGTTGTGATAGACATGCAGAAAGTAATGTTTTTGTTAAACTGAAACGAAACTTTAACCATAGTTTGATTGGAGTTGGATGTGCAGCGCATATTATTCATAATATTATAAGAACATCAGCTGTTGTTTCGCTATTGATATAGAAATGATTATTTCTGAGATATACTTTAAATTTTTTACCTTAGAATAGAAACATTGAAAAAATTCTGTAACTTGTTGAAACCGATTCTTTAATGATACTAGGGTATTCACAAACAAGATGGTTAGCCTAAATTCCCACCACTGAAAAGGTACTCCAGATGTTTTTGCCTGTGAAGGCTAATTTTCAATCTCAAGAAAAGTTCTGCATGCTTATTTTGCAATTCTTTGAAAATACAGTGGCAGAAGTGTGATTATTTTTGTTAACACTCAGGCTTGAATATTTCATAAGGTTATCATTACAACTAAAAATCAAACTGCATCTATATTTGATGTGATAACTTCAACGGATGCTCTGAAAGCTTCAGTATTTAGCAAGATAGGATAACTTTCCAATGAGTTAAAAAAATGAGTTTGAAATGAAACTTTCCAATGAGTTTAAAAAAAAATTCTAGAGAAACTTGAAGAGAATGTAGACATGTCAAAATGTCAAAGTTATTGAATTTCGAGAAACTGCTGTTTCATTTTATCAGGCTGCTCTTACTTATTTGGAGAAATGGTTAAAAAAATATTTCAGGAGACAGAAACGTATAACTGGATCATATTAAATGAAATCCCTTCTTGGAAAATAGTTGAAACAGCCTTTTCATTAATTAATAAAATGATACCATGTCATAAATTATTGGAAATTTATATATGTGAGAAATATGTTTACCTTAAACAATGTATCATGAAAGAAAAATATTGGAAGGTAAAAAATATGATATAGCCACTTCAGAGGTGGATGGAAATAATGGCATATTTTTAATAAACAGATTCCTTGTTCAAATGTTTTAAAATTGCCAGAGTTTCTCTTTTGTCTTCATGGCACTAATGCTGCAACTGAGCGAGTATTTAGCATTATGAACAACAACTAAATGATCACCAACTATGTTGATAACTAACTAAATTTTGATGAAAATTGCACAGATTTTTATATGAACATTTAAGAAATATTCATGCTTTAGAGAAATATAAGGTTATATCAAATACTTAGAGAGTTAGATATTATTATTTGTTTAACTGAATACTGCCTTTGATTTTCTTTATTATTAAAAATATATATATCATTGTACATTCACAAAAATTATTTATCTTGATTTATATATGTTGATCTACATACCACCTCCACCACAATAAAATTAATAATAAATAATTTATTCGTAAAAAAGTTATTTAAAAAATTATGTATATAGCATCCCAAATTTCAAACTTCATAATCTGGTCACCTTAGTATTAAGTGAAAATGAACTCCTCCCTTGAGGTGTAATAATTTAAATAGCTCTTCATTTAAAACAAATGAGGTATATTTTTGGGGGTCCAGTTATTTTGTGAAAATTGTGTCTTTTTGGCCATAGGTGAAAGAAATTTCTATAAAGAAATCTGCTAAGGAAGCATATGTATAATGGTGCATATTATATATGGTGATATAAAAGCATATTATATATGGTGATCTATATAAATAAATGTAGAAATCTTGATTTACATAATGAAACTTTGCATCATTTATACTTTAAATAATAAATTTGTTTAAAAATATGATGCTTTTTTAAATTTGAATTCTCATTGGTCATTTTTAGTGAATTTTTTTTAAAAAGGTGTATTTATTACTAAATCTCATAATTGCTCTGTGAAGTAAACCATGTAGTGAACAAAACCTATATGAGTATTAAACCATATATTCTTCATTTAAACTTCAGCTGTTTGCATAATTTCAAATAGTAGATGTGCATAAAAATTTGGTTAATTATGTGGGTACTGCTTTTAGTTAGTTATATCGGATTGGCAAGAAAGTAATTTTTGTTTTTTTGTGTGAAATAACACAATTATTTTTTTTTATATGAAAAAATTAACTTTAATCAGTCAAATACCTTCCATTCTGTTTAATGACCTTTTGCCATCTTTCTGGTAGCTTCATGATTCTTCACTTATAGAACTTCTGATCTTTATGTACAAAAAGTTCAACCAAATGCGATTTGAGGTCATCATTATTACTGAAATTTTTACCATTTAAGAAGTTAGTATATTTTGAAATAAATGATAATCCGATAGTGCAAGGTTGTAGCTATATGGGGGATGCAACATGTGCATGGCCTCGAATTGTTCTGGTAGAACACAATTCCTTTGTGATTTGGCAGTTTTGACCTTTTTCTCTTTGATTGCTTCCTGCAGTTTTATAAGTTGTTAACAGTAAACATCTGAAAGTGTCACTGGTTGCTTGGAAGCAGCTCAAAATGCACACCTTCGTAATTCCTCCAAATTGACAGCATGGTCTTTTTCTGCTGCAGTTTAGCTTTTGGTATTGATAGTGTTGAATCTATATTATGTATGCATACATAATACCTACACAGTTTTTGAATTGCTGAAATTTAACACAAAATTTTACTATTCAGAGATACTAATTTTTTTGGTTCTAGAAAAATACACTTTGTCAGCAGTTTTCCCTTTTGTCATATCTACTGCAATCAGAGCAACATTTAGATACTTATTAGAAAAATTCCAAAGTAGATAAGTTAGGTAATAATTTGGAGAAATTAACTAGTACAAATACATACAGAAAGCATACATGCATTTTTAATGCAGTTCTATTAAAGTGATGAAATATTGTACTGAAATTATATTTTATTGTTTAACCAACAAAATATGAGATGTCTTGCTATTTACGGGTTTTTTTAAAACATTTTCACGTTAGGATTTAAGAATTTTAAAGAAGCCATAGCATATAAATACCTACTTAATTATAATCATATTTAATTTGTGCAGATATTTTGAGTTCTGCTTTTTTTTACTATAAATTTGCCAAAAGAGTTTTTATTATAACACACTATAATCTTTTGTGCATATCTTTTCAAATTTGCTTTAATTACTTGGCTCTTTATGGGCAAATGGATAAGACTGTGGAAAAGAAAGAGTTAAAAGTAACTACAGATGTTTGATATTGTATTTATTTCTGTTTACTTTAGGCCCACCAATGGGCAAGTGGTAAAATCGCTGAATACTGACAGTTCTGATGAGTTTGAAACCAGACGAACAGGCTAGCTGCATGGGCGTTTGTTTTTTGATTTTTCTCCATGTGTAACATATATACAGGCCAGTTTTCCTTAGAAAGTTCTCAAAGAAGGCATCCCTTCCCTTAGGCAGATAGCTCTAGTGTGCTTTGAAATAATAAACTAAACCAAACCAGTGTGCTTACTTCAATAATCTGATTTTTTATATGCTTTTGAATTTCCTTCGGTTGTCTTCCTTTTTTTTGAGAGACATGTCTTCAGCACATTTTTCCACTTTTTTTTGTAGCTTTTATATTTGCCATTTAACATTCACATGACATAATGAGTGTTTTCGTTGCACAGAGCATATGTTCTTTATCATCACTGAGGCCTGGCAAAAAGAATGTTGCCATTTTATATAACATTAACATATAATCTACAATAAATTTGCAACTGATTAAGGGCATATCAGTTAGATTGTGAATTGAGCAGGCCCTGTTAAAAAGAAATTATTAAAAATATATTAAATGTAGTAAATTTATTTTATGCAGAATCATGTAGAGATTGCTTAAAAAAGCTATCAGTATAAAAGTGTCTAGGAGAACTATAAAAGGAAAGGAAAAGAAAAGCAATAACAGCAATAATAGCAAATGATGTCCTAGAGTTTGGAATTTGTTTTTATTGACAACAGTATTTAATTTAACTATATGTAATTTGGAATATATAAACATCCAGCAACCAAACAATTTTTTTTACACAAGCTTAAACTTATTGATATTGTTTATGTTCTGTTGTAAATATTATTCTGTAATGCATTTATGATAGTTTCTTTGTTTACAATAATACATAATGATGCAATAATTAATTTTTTCATTGTGGGTATTGTCCTCAGTATTGCTCTGAAAAATTGGCAATTTGCTATCATTTACCTTATTTCTAAAATTTTATTAAACTAATTTATCTCTCAAACTGTAACTATTATTTAATAAATTGAGCACTTTAAAAGCAGTAAATGTTCTTAATATAATATATCTTTATTTAGGTCTTTTTCCATTTTTATGGATGACTTTTTTGTACTTAAATTTTTATTATTTAATGAACTGCATATTTCTTTCAGATCACCCATATTTTGTTGCAGTCCAGTTTCATCCAGAATATATATCTCGCCCAACTGAGCCATCCCCGCCATATTTGGGTCTTATTTTAGCTTCAAGTGGAAAACTCTCCTCTTTTTTGGCTAGAGGTTGTCATCATCGATTTCTTGATTGTGAAATTACTTCTGAAGATGAAATAGAAACTGGAGAAGAGGAAAGTGCTTCATTAATGAACATTCAGAGTGTGCAAAATAGCTGATGTATAGCAAAATCAAAATATTAGCGAAAATTTAGATAGTTTCTTTCATTTAGATATTTGTTTTTCAAATGCAAATAAAGTTATTCTTTGATTGTAATTGATTATATAATTCTTAATCCTTAGTATGCAAAATATGTGCATTAATGTTTTTTTATATATCAAAAGTATACAAAGTGTTGAAATATTTTTAAATGGAATTTCAAGGTGTCTTAGGAGAGAGCAACAGAAGTGAATTCAATAAGTAATTATCTATATTTTTTATTATTAACATCTGTTCCATGAATAATTCATAAAAGCTGACTCTTTGCTTCTTTTAAATAAATAAATAAATAAAAATTCTCTTTCCGGAAATGAATAAAACATAAATATTTTGCTATACATCCTATCAATTGTTTGGTTCTACAAAAATCTTCCATTATATTTATCAAGTGATTCTTTGCTACATTTTTGTTCTTATTTTTCCCTCTGAATACTTCAGGCATCTTTCTTGTTTATTGGATCATCTGCTGATAGCTCCTTGTTTTCCAGCATGCTGCAAATAGTCATAAAATATGTTTATTATATTTTGAAAATATTTGTTCCTGAACAAATACTTTCTCTGAATAAAAATATAGAAACACTTCTATGATTTGTGAATTTTTTTCAAAATAAGTTGTAGTAGGGTGAAAATGTAAGTATGAGTGTGTAAGGTGTAGTAGAGTAAAAATGTAGTAGATAAAAATGTAAGTAGAGTTTTTATGAATAATTTTCTAGTGAATCAAAATAGAAATGAATCAATGGAAAAAAAATAACATTGAAATATAGTCTAAATATTTAGTCATCATAATCTTGTTTTTTTAAAATCTAGCCTTTGTCAGCATTATCTTTTAGAAGTATATATATATTTTATAATAGGAACTATCTAAAGAAATATAAATAGGGATAGGGAACTCTGAAAGAGTTGCTTGTTCAGAAGATGGTTTCAAATATCAAGACAATATATTTTACACAAAAAGTGTGATTTCTGAAATAATTATGTATTCAGGAGATGACTAAGCATTCAATGTCATTTATAATTTGGGTTATACAAATTTATGTAGCATAAATTATAAAGTAACAAAAATAGTATTATAAAAAAATTATTTGGTATTAGTATAAATATCTAAGTATTAGAATTAAAAGAATCAATTAAAAAAATCTATTGTAGCTCAAATCAAATTCTCCACCCCCTCTCTTCATGGAAAAGCTTATTTAAAGACCTTTTTAACTGATTTTTAGGCAATTTTATGGGCATGTTTTAAATTACAAAAATTGCCCTTGAAATGGCTTTCGTTCAAGGTTGAAAAAAACATTCAAGTCTTCAAATACAGTTTCATTACGGTTACTGCTTTTTGTTTATGGATATACTTTGGAGAATTAAATTCTAAAAATAATGCCTTTAAACATACCTTTATATGTATTTTTTTACATAAGCAGAATCATAAAAATATTGAGGAGATAAGGATTTTTTTTTTTTTTTTTTTTTACATTCTTACTTACCCGCCATCACCATTTAATTGGTGAATTTTTCCAATTCCAGGATTCATTAAAACAAACGGCAGCTCAGCTACAACTTCTCTGAAAAAGAAATAAATAATATATTGATTCTTGATTGAAAAATGAATTAAAATAAATATCTTATTATGCTTTGTAATAACATTTTGATATAGAAAATGAATTTTTTTAATGTTCTTTACATGTCTTTTATAAGCTTCGAAACAAAAACGTGTTTTAGAGTATCAAAAATGTCCATTGCTTAATTATAATTTAAATAAAAAAAAATGAAAATTTAATATGTATTTTCCAGATGTTTTGCATATTTATTCCAATATCTATTTATAGCAACAAGCAAATATTATATTAATATTTATTTATTGTTATAAATACCCACATACAAATTTTCAAATTTCAGTCTTCAAATTTTCTCGTAAAATTATGTATATATTTTACAAAATATAAAACTTTTTTGTAAAATTAATTTTTCAATCTTAAGTTGCTGAAGTGCTCGAGTTTATTATTTTATATCCTAATTATTGTATAATACAGCCAAAAGTCTTTAATCCGGACTCGTTGGGACTTCAGCGATTCCGAATTATCGATTTTTCCGGATTATAGATCATCAGTTTAAATCTGGTAAGATGGCATGCAGAAATTATAAAAATAAAAATATGAAATCGTAATTTGTGAAATAAAGAGAAGTTAGGATCTAAAAGAGTATCAAAATTTACAAAAAAAAGAGCTTAATATTGTTTTGTTTACTTTATTAAACATTTCTTTCAACGTGCACATGCGTAAAGCATACATTACGCATAGTCGAAATTAGAAAATTACAACCAGAAAACTTTGATGTGTACTCGTGATATTTATAATGCTGAGGAATTTGATTTAAATCAAAGACGGAATACATCGTGATGAAATACTACATTTAGTAAGGAATTATAAGTGGAATAAAATAAAAACATCTGCCCTGAAGATAAGGATAGTGCTGACAGATCAACTTCCAGTCCATTGCGCGCTGCGACAGTTCCCCCTCACCGGCAGAGTAGCGTGAAATTGATAAACAGATTTCGGAATGGTCAGAGAAACAAAGTATATACCTTTATCCATTTTTTGCTGCAATTCCACTTTTTGTTTGATGGACATCGAAACATGCTTTCGTTTTGTAGATCCTTTGGCAGCTCCAAAATCGGAAATTCTTTTTGACGTAATCAAAAGTTCAAGCTTACTTTTATAAAATTGCTTTAACAGTCTGCAAAAAAATAATAAGCTAGATCCAATTAGAAGATTAAGGAACAGCGCAATCTGCAACATTAACTGAAATAGATAATTAGATAACTTTAGCTTAGCTTATGCCGTCCGTTATACATTAAACGTGCATGCATAAACGTATTATGCGCATGCGCACACGCATATGCGCACGTGTAAAAGTATTACGTGCATGCATAAACGCCTATGTGCATGCATGAACGCATTATGCGTTGATACATGCACAGAAAGTTTGTAGCTTTGAGGTCCGGATTATAGATGTCCGGTTTAACGACTTTTGACTGTATTTTGGAATATATATGTTACCATGAAAGACCGAAATTGGAGAATGTCGACTTTCACCGGAGAATATCAACATTCGCCAAATACGTCGGTGAAAGACCGGATATTTCAGTACATTCTTGTATATTTGGACCCTCACCGGTGTATGTCAACAATCACAGATATGCTAAAGAGAGGTCATAAAGTACCATAATAGTTTAAGTTGTTGCAATAAATAAGATTTGAATAACATAATTTAGTAAGTTTTTTATTACTGTTATTTTATTTTCTCATTTAGAATGTACTGTATAATTAAGTAAGTTTTTAACTTCTATTATTTTCCTTTCTCATTTTGAATGTATTGTGTGTTTTAGGTTCTCATGTTCTTAAGTTCTTATTTCAAGTTTCAAGTGCGTTTATTCGCGACTGAATTAAGGAGAAGAATATATAATATTGTTATATGTTCAACATTCATCATTAGTACATGGTGAATGTCGACATTGACCAGTGTAAGTCAGAAATAAGAGTATTTGGAAAATATTTCGGACATACACCAAGAGACTGTGTGAACGTTGACATTCATCTGTGAAAGTGGACATTCTCCTGATTTCAGTGTTTCACCGTAACATATATATTATTATGGAACCTTTACCAGCTTCAGAGAAATATATCACTAGTGTGTGTAAATTATATAAAAAATAAAATTATTATTGGATTCTCATTAGAGATTTTCTGTAATCCGAAATTCGTTCATTATTTTTGAATAACCCTATATTTTATTTAAGATTAGCGCATTTTCTGTGAACAGTAAATCTAATGGAAAAATGTCGGGCTTTTAAATTATCTCACTAATATGAATTTTTGAAAGAATATAAAAAAGCAGGTCCTTTAAAATATAATGTTACAACTTCCTTTTTGTTTTGCTGCTGCCATCATATTTTCAGTGAATAAAAAGCATACCATTAAAGTTATAGACATGCAAGTTATCTCATTGATGTAGCGTTATGAAAGAATATAAACAGGTCATTGAAGTATGATATTAGAGTATTGTCCTTTGTGGCCACTCAGTAATGGGAAATTGCAATGGATGTCAATTAATTCTGTTGCACAGTATAAAATATAGATATGCATAGGCAAAATTTAGCACTAAAGATATCAGTGTAGCATGTGGTTTGCCAGCTATCATATATCTCCCCATTTTCTCCAGAAATATTTGAATAAGTAGTTTTTAAACTTCTGTAAACATGTTTTATGTGAACCACATTATTTTTTGACGTTGCGGCCCTCTTTAAGCTTTTTTAGCATTTTCTCTCCTCTTCTCGGCGAAAGGGATACGAGACCTTATGTTGACGGGGTTTTCGTAGGCTTCAAGCAAACACGCGACGTTCGTTGGGACGGGTACCCGCATATTACTGCTAACCCGGGGTAACACCATGTCGATTTTTGATTCCTTGTAAATTTCGAAAAGTTCATTAAAGGGAGACACCCGATATGATCAAGTAGGAGTGAGGTTCTTTGGCAAGTCTCATCCGACCCTCAGACAAGCGAAGTCCCAGGTATCAGATGAAACCGCAATGCATGTTCGAAAAATATGTGCTCAATGTGACCTGCAATTCACACAAAATCTTGGAGTTGGCTGCGTTCTTTTGTGAGCCATATGCTTTTCCATGCTATAAATGAACATTTTGAAACTTTAGAATTGAAAATATTCGCTTCATGTAATTCTTTTTTGTTTTGTTTTGTTTGTGTGTGTGGGTGTTAGCGGCGATTAAAACTTTTGAATTGACAGCACATAGTCGTTTTTTTATTACATTGCTGTGCAACATCAGAAGATTTCAATCGAAAATTGAATGAGAAGCCTACAAATTAAAATTTTTATACAGACTAGACATTTTAATCTCTATTCAGACATGTTCTGAAGATGATCAGGTATGCAATCTCATTGATAAATTAGGTTATCTACTGAAGAAAACTGTGGCAAATTAACTTTGACTATTGTATTTCTAATGCATCTTTAAAATATGCCAAATTACTTTTTTAGTCTTAGTACTATGAGCTAGCCGAAGGACTAAAATCCATGAAACAGTAGCATTTCGTGCAAGGTTCCATTTGTTGCTTTTAAATTGGTTGACTGCATGGGACTTTTGGGGTTTTCATTTTGTGTAACTTAAATGGATGCCGGTTTTCCTTAAAAATCCTCTACAAAGGAATCTCAATCTATAGGCAGATGGTCTTCCTGTTTTGCCTTTAATCCACTTCAAAATAAACTAGCCTTAATCCAGCTCACATATATTCTTAGGGAATATAGTAACAAATTAAGTAATAGATAATGCTAATTTAGTTAGTTTTCTCTGGATTAATTTTTGAGACTCTGTATTTGGTTGATACTTACCCACCCAAGGCTCCTAGAATAAGTTTCACTTTGATGGAATATGAAACAATAATGCCGAAAGGATCTTTTTCTTGTTCTTCTGGTAAGCTAAAAAATATAAAGCTTGCTTTAATATAATCTAAATAACTTTAAGATAATATGCTGAATTGCAAGAGAAAATGCATATAATTAAATATATCTTGCAGGCAACAAAGAGATATAGCTGATTAAAGTGTACATAGGCGTCACTTTAATCAGCTACATCTATCAGTTCTCCTGTATCTCGAAAGGCATTACAAATTTATAGTTTCGCTACAAAGTTTCTTGTTGAAAGAGACATTAGTCAATATTTTTTGGCATCTGCCACCTATCCAATATGTCCCGAGTAATTTATTGCCGTATAGTAAGTTGAGCAAAGATGGGTACATTGGGAATTTGGTCAGTTTGCTATGAATTTTTAAAATGCTTTACGGATTTATGAATAATCCTCTATTTAAAAAGTAATAGATTTAGTTACTTGATATTTTGATTATCTTACTGTTGTGTCTCAGTTTTAATTTATACATATCTATGTAAAGCTAATTTAAATTTTAAACTATGAAAATTCAATTGTATACTAATAAAAGATTAATTATCACTGCGAATTAATTTGCAATATTTAAATTCAGAAAGCATATGTAAATTAAGTGCAAGTATCTAAAAACATGATAAAGTATTTAATAATACAAAAATTAATCCTAAATAAAAAAAAAAAAATTAAGTCCAAATCATCCATATAGGCATAATTCAATAATTGGAGAGTTAGGTTTGCAGGCAACTTCCCCTTGAAAAGATCTGTCTCCTGCCTACTGAGCAATTATTCACTTTATGCACTTAATTGAGTCTTAAAGCTTAATTTTTGGATTAATAAATATTTTATGTTTTTAGCTGCTTGCATTTAATTTACATATGCTTTCTGAATTTAAATGATATTGCAAATTAATTCGCAGCAATAATTAATCTTTTATTTGTACACAATTTAATTTTCATAGTTTAAAATTTAAATTAGCTTTATATAATATTTGTTATTCAAATTTCATTTCTTGCAGCAATGGCACAAGAGAATTCTTTAATTATTTATTTAACTTTACTATTGATTTCTTATATATATATATAACATATAAGACATACGTATATAACAGTTGCTCCTTTTTTTAAATTTATTGAGGTAAGATAGTTTGGTGTTTTAGAGACAAAGCACAAAAGTATTCATCTAAGTAGGAAAGCATCTTTCTCTTTATTTTTCACTCTGTTATGCTATAGTGAAAATTGCTTATGCTTGTGAGTACGTTTGCAGTGATATGTCCAAACTACAGAGAAAGAAGACACAATTAGATGTTTCTAAGTAGCAGGATTAATTAGAAGAAAATCTTTAAATATTGTCTGTAACAAACATATAGTAGTTTTCTTGCATAATATGACTTAATGGAATATCGGCTAATGGAAAACACTCCAATGATACTTTATGAAAACGCATTTGGACAGAGTCGAAATGATCCGTTGGTCTGCATTCGAGTTGCCTTTCATTGGCTGTCCGAAGTCGTGAACTATTTCTTCCTTTTTTCATACTTCACGGACAACATAGGCCTTTACAAACTGAAAAAAACTGAGCAGATTTCAGCCTAATGATTTCTTTGTAAAATGAGCGTTGATTATGCCAAATGACCTTATTAAATCAATATGTTCAATTAATCAAAACTTTGTCGAATATTTAGGCAAAATCTAAAAAGATACATTTTACTCACATAGTCGAAGATGCCATGCTGACTGGTTCATCACCTACTGGTGCATCTAATGCCACACCTCTAGTAGTACAGTTGTCAGTAATGGTTGGATTAATCTCTACAATTTTATGTAATGTTCCTCCTGGTCCAATTGGGCAACCAGACCTATAAATAAAATATCTCAAGAGTCATCTAGTATATGATCATTTGAATCAATTCGCATCATATTTAAATTAGAATTTTTCAGTATGTAATTTAAATTTTTTTCGGGGATTTGGCGAAACTTTTACGGGAAGTTACATTCGTTTCTTATAATTCCCTAAAATAACTGCATAAATTCAAACAATCAACCGTATATGCTTATAAATTTAAAAATTGGGCAGTTTTTATAAAAGATCACAGCATTCCTTCGCTTCATGAAGCTCATTTACTTAAAATAATTGTGTTATGTCTAAATTATGTATTTTACGCTAATAATAATATATAGAAGAGAAACTTATTTGTCTATTAATATTGATCTTATGCGAATGATCTTCGTATTTGCGTGTATAGGATGCACTATAAAAGAAAGAATTTGAAAGATCTGAAAGAAAAGAACACCAAAAGAAGGTGAAAAAATATATATCCTGGCAATACATTTGTAATAGAGGCTCTTTATTTTGCTGTGGTACCATCACGTTTTGAATATCATACTGAACAAACGACTATTTGCTATTGAATGCATTATTGCAATTGCGATGACAAGCATAACATGATATGTTGAAGTACTGCCTGAAGAATTCGCTGTGCATGCTCCAGAAATAAAAAATGTTACAAGGAGGTGTTCCTTATACTCGGTTTTAAGGTAATTCTAAATTAAATAATAAACTTTGGCTAAATCTGGCTACCAGATTGGCTAGCTGATGACTCAATAAAACGAAATTAGTGGGCCCGGAAACAATTTTCAAAGGATGGTCACGGAGATCTTAGTTGTATGAGCACGTTAGAATAAATTAGATTCTGTTTTGCATAATGAAACTAGGAAGCGGGAAACGAACGCGAGCCGAACTATATACTGGCGAGAGCGGATTCACCCTATGCCTTGTATCTAAGCCAGAGTGTCAGTCACTCAGTTTTCTTTTTGATCCATGTTACTTATGTCTTGGGATTACTCCTGCAATTATTGCCTAATAGGTAAGCCTGAAGATATTTTTGAATGATTAATGAGCATATGTAAGTTCCTTTTTTTGACATTTCAATTTTAAATGTCTGTGAAGTAATTTTTTTTTCTACTTTAGAATTAAATTTTTTTTTTCTACTTAAGTAAACCCCCCTTACTTGTTAAATGAAGATTTCAGAGTAATTTTGAGTTATGAATCTTTAATGGAACTGTGATAACAGAGGGTAGTGAACTCAAAACGCTTTAGCTGTGTTAATGCATAACACATCAGAGCAGCCGTTCTATCTTGCTTAAACCACCAATAAGTGAGGAAAAAATATCGAATCCTGCAAAAACGTATCGGTGAACATTTCATAGTAGTTGATTCTATTCCTCAGTTTCAAGAAAATATAGCCAAATGGTGTCAGATTCCATGCCAGAGAAATTTACTATCATGCTCTGTCCTTGGTACTGAGGAAAGGGTATTGTAAAATGCATAAAGATTTCAGATGCAGTTCTTGTAGAATCTATGGAACTCAGTATCAGTATATCTGCTTACTGATGTTAATAATCCTACTGTGCCAATGCGGTATTAGATGCTCATCAGAACTGGACTCCGACAATACGAATCATGGTGGTCGTCAGTAAAGGACTGCTATGTAGCGGGCATTATAGTTACTCATGTTTTAAAACAGTCACTTATTTTTGGAGCTCTTTACGCAATGAAATATATTTGTACAATGCTTTGCTAAGGTAGGTGCTGTCATTCACTGGCAGATGCTGAGAACACCTTAGAAAGAGAGATAATTGTTGTCTTAGAGCACTAAGGGATGGGGGGGGAGAAACTGAAAATACAAGCTTGAAAAAATTGATAACCAAATTATTGTTAAAATAAACATTTAATAAAGGACAAGGAGGCTCTCCTTATACTTCGTCTTTAAGGAAGACCGTAATAATATAATCAGCTTCTCTAAATGAGACTGATCTGCTGATGATCCAATAAAGTGATATCAGGTTTCTCAGAAACAATCTTCGAAGAGTGGTAATCTTAGTTGTGGGACAAATGCTTCATTCTGCTTTTACATAAAGATTTCAGTCGCCTTTACAAGAATTGTTTCAGATTATGATGCCAGTCATACAAGTTTTATATATATATATATTTCTAAACACAGTACCTCAAATATATTTTTGCAGTGATATTCAGTATTCACAAGTACTATCAAATTTACTCAACGCAGATTCAGCGAGTATGCAATGGCACATGCGCATGTTCTGTCAGATTTGCTATAATAATATATGAGAAATCTTTAATTACCATAGTGGTTTTTCATTTTTAAGGGAGGGGGAAGTAATGGTTCGAAGTAATACAAGTTCAATAAAAGATAGCTTAAACTTTCAATGATTATTTATTTACTGTTTACAGATCATATTTAAAGAAAATCTAGTTTATCACTGTTTCAAAGACGCTGAAAAATCCAGACGGTAAAAAATGCTCTGAAAATAGGGCTACTGAGCGACTGGCTGTAACCAATGAATTTACATACGATGAATTTTAAGAGTTTCTTTTCTATTTTTGCGAAAACCTATGCTAAACAATAAAACCTGCTTGTTCATGTTGTTGGAAGCAGTGTCGTTGCACCAGGCTGAAATTTGACCAAACGTTTCCATTCTTGTAGTCTATGCGAGATTTTATACTCTCTGCTGACCTTGTTGAATGTCGTATCTGTAGTCTCTCTTCTCGCTGGTATGCCGTCATTGGTAAATGGTGGTTGATATATTTATGCTTGAGGATCCTAGGGTTGCTATCATTTTAACGAAATGTCTGTCTTTTACTAACTATGCATCAAGATCACGACTAACTCAAGGTTAATCGTTTCGTTACCTTGCTTAACTCAGCGACCTTTCTAGTGTGAAGTATAGCTACACTCCATTTTTCTGTGCAATGAATGTTGTCAAATACACGTCGAAGTCATTTCTAATTTTTTGCACAGAGAATGCAGCTGCTAATGATACTGTACTGAAAATAAACATAAAACATATTTTCAAAGGTTTATGTAATAACATACTTACTCAGTATCGACGCAAGCTATAATTGTTCGGCAATGTCCACTAGCAAACATGCAAATATCTGCATTTTGAATACCTAGAAATAATAAAATTAAGCGTTTAGTTAAGGAACTGGGAAGTATATAAGTACATAAAATTTTATTTGAGTTTTTATGTGTATGATACTTCGTAAATAGTTAATGCTACACCTTTTATTCATTATTAAATGTGCGTAATCATTCGCAGTTTCCATTTTATTCCATTGTTTTACATAATTTTTTTCGTTAATTATTCGTATTCAGGTTTTAGGTTGAGGATTTTCATTTTGTTTTTTAAAAGATGTTTCCAGAAAATATTGTTTCTTTAATCTTAAAAAATCTTCTAATAAAGCTGCACATTTAAAAACAAGGTGTGGTAGCAATGGTAATTTCTAATATTTGGAAATATGCAACACATTATCACTATGTTATATTCACTTGATTAAAAAACAGATCAATGTACCTCGTTTTTAGTAGAAATTGCAAATATTGCTGATAACCACATGCAGATGACACAGTTTCAGAACAACACTAAAGAAGCGAATCAAATAATAGTTAAGAAACTTAATGAACTTATGAAAACCCACAAGAAAATAGTGATGAAAAGTGAGACGGGATGTAAAATACTGTACGTTTAAAGCAACGGACTATGGAAAATGTAAGACAATAGGTTTGAAACTCAAAATGGAGACTCGATCAAAATTTCCTTTTGAATCACGATGAAAAATTTTCGGACATTTCAGGCAACGAATTTCGATTTTGGACCGTATTTATTTTGGTTCTGGAAGGCTAAGCTGGAAAATATTTATTGTACCTGCGCTCATTATTTAGTTTTTCAGATTTGCCAGTAAAGAATTGAAGCTAGTCTTATTTAGTGGGGCATGGTAGCTAGACTTTACATTCATAATTGTAACTAGCTCTGTTCACCCATTGGTTAGAGACGAACCTTTTATTTTCCTTAATTCATTAGAGAAATTCTTTCCATCCACATTATAATTTCCCATATTGATCCCAATGTACATGCAAGGAATTTTCTATGTACGACTGGAATGGAATTAGGTATTCGTTTGCGGATTAAATTCTTATTTTATAAGATTTGCATTTGCTGATTTCATATATGCATGCGTTTATTTCATTTATTTGAATTCTTGGTTGACAGCATCTTTTCAGCGTAATGTGGCAGGATTTCTGTTGTCATATGTGTCAATGATGCTTATTTCAAAGATTTATATGCGAGTTTAAAATTTGACATGTTTGCGCTTTTTACAGCTTTCACATGGTTATAATGTCTGTATGATTAAATTAAAATATTCGGAACAGGGTACATTAGGAAAGTGCACATTCTTATGTTTTAATCGACAATTTTTTAAAATCAAGATATAATCGAGAATCTTTGGCTCAGAATGGTCGAAAGATTGTTCACTTAAAACTTTATATCATAATAAACTTCATAATAAATCCTAATGCTGAAGAGAACAGTTCTGAATTATTTATAATAAAGACTTTTTTTTTTTTGTAATATGTCCAGTTAAACTATTTTTTAAAAATTTGTTTTAGGTACTTGTAAAACTAGCATGCTCCGCGTCTTAATAATGAAGGTATTTTTTTTTTTTTTTTTTTTTTTTTTGTTGTTTGTTTTTGCATAATTTTTACGTGTTTTCGTTTTTATGCACAGATTAGTGATATACCTATTATTGCATTTAGCACAAAGTGTATATTTAAAAAAGTTTGTAATTTTAACTTCATTTTGTCGAATAAAATTTTCATAATCTCTGTTAATTATATCGTTATAAAAAGATTGTGTATTATGTGCGTTATTTTTTGGGGTGCAACATTTGACTGTTTATTACATTAATTTTTTTTAAAATTACCACATCATCTATCTCGTTATCTGTCTATATCTATATCTACAACGATCTATCTATCTATCTATATATATATATATATACATGTGTGTGTTGTATCTTCACGAGTGTGACTGAGCATGTGTATATATATGTAATGATGTAGGAGACTTAGATGTAATGTAGAAATACTGACTGCACAAATGGTGATCCATAATGAACATCAAACTTGATAGCCAAAGCAGATTGAATATTGATTTTTATTTCAACTGACATTTGCCGTCGCATCTCCCTTGATTATTCAAGGAAGTTGGCTAATCGTGCCTGGTATAAAACACGTACATTTTTTATACAATTGCGGTGAGGAGGAAGCAGCGTGGCAGCGTTCGAGTGGCAACAGAAGCAGAAGCAAAGGAGTCATCGAATATGGAAGCTTAATTAAGAGAATTTCGTTTCTCTAAATTTTTTAGCTCTGAATTAGTTACTTCTTCATGTAAAAGTCACATGGTAAGGATTAATCTAGAAATGACGCGGTCCAAAAAGCGTTACTACTATTTTTAGAACAGAGCGGGGAAGTACAGAAATTAAAATAAAAAAATTAAGGGTCTGTTGTTAATTTAAGTTATAATTTCGATTTACATATTTTTTGTCTTACATATCCCTCCTCTTCAAAGAGAAAAAGACTTGGCGATAGAAATGTCTTTCGAAGAGATAAAACGCTGCGCATTTCAGTAAAGGGGTATTTATAGAGTTGAATTTCTTTGCTTAAATTCTGGAATGCTGCTTTCACATCACGGCATAATTCGGAATAATTATCAAATGATGAATTTTAGATTAGCAGTTTTAAAATAAGAAGGTCATGTAGCCAAATTAAAATGAAGAATTAAGGAGCTATTTCAAGTTATAATTTTGTATCATATGTTTTTATCTTGTATGCACACACACACCGCATGCTTATACAGTGTCCATAAAAGTTTTTGTGTCTTTATATTCGAAACTATTTGTGCAGACATATACTTCCAGTATATTCAAGTGCAAATATGCATGTTTTGGTATTTTAAAATAAAATAAAAAATAACTCAGTTTTATAAAAATTACGAAATCTAGCATTTTATATGGTACCCCATCACTATAGTTATATTTAGTTTAAAAAAAGAGGTTTGATTCGCATACAACAAAAAGAGAACGAAATATGTCATTTCAAAGTTTCAGAACACATGTTTTGAAAGGAAAAGGATCCTATACAAATTGAAGACAGCAATACCAGATTATTAAATATTTTCTTTTTTAACGATTAAATGACAACTTTTAATATGCAGACATTCGGAAAAAAGTTTGCAAAATACAATTTTTTTAAAAAAGACATCTTATTTATAAACGTTTCTAGAAATAGCAGATGGCTTCACGAGTTTCGAGTTAGCACATCGCCAACTTGTAATATTAACTATATAGTTTCAGAAGGAAAATATTTCTGTTTCGTTGAATTTTTTATGACTATTAGATAATGTACAGTACTATAGATTAGACTAGCGGAAGTACCCGATGCTAGTTAAGTTAGAATCAGAGTAATGTATCAGACAACAGAGAGAACGATACCGCTGTAATCCTTCTCTAATTATTGATCTTTGATGTAACAAAATCCGGTGAGGGTGTTTTTTTCTGTTATAAGTTTTTTCTATTAAAATTCTGACATCATTAATATCCGCTAACGCATTTCACCTATATTCAATTTTAATGGATTAAATGTGGCAAAAATTGATCATAATTGATCAGAAATCAATAAAGCAATTCGAAAAAATATTAATGTTTTGTGGTCACGTTTAATCGATCATTGTCAAAATTAATTGAAACAGTCGATACAGGTTCAACTTTATGGATTGTTGTTTTAAAACAAATTAGAAATTGATGAAAATGTGTTTTTAATTTTATTTCCTTCATAACTTTTGATATTTGAATCTTGAGTTGGTTGTTTCAGATTGAACTCACATTTTTTCAAAATTTTCCTGCCGTTTCATGTTCTTTCCTTTCTGTATTTGTGCATGCATATATATTAGGTTGATAGGGATAAGCAAAAAATTCACAAATCAAAATCAATGAAAGATTTTTAAATTTTCTAAAATGTTGGCAAAAGTGCAATTTGAAGAAGCGTGCATCCAATCAGGCAGAGAAAACACAGATGAGATATAAATAAAATATGTGAATTCTAGTGCATGTGCTCATACGGCCTTCGCTGCCGATTAATCGAGAGTTTTGCAATTCTGGAATCCTATTGGTCAGTTCCATAGACTTCCTATAGCAAGCGAACGATTGAAAATTTTTTTTGTGGAAAAAAGTGCACATCGACCTTTCACAGGACCCAGAAAAAATTACAGAAAGTTAAGTGACGATAGCGGTAGTAGTGACTGAGTGTATCGCGAACAAACAAACACGCAAACAAACACGCAAACAGACATTCTTTGTTTTATATAGAGAGAGATTATGCTAAAGCAATGGTACTCAAACTTTATGACAAGACGACCCACTACAACAATTTCACGACTCAGTTCAGAGCGTTCACCTTTTATATACCATCAATTAAGATTTTTAGGATTTTTATCAACATTGTGACTCCAGTGTAAATTTTCGCGACCCCAATTGGGGTCACGACCCATACTGCAATAAAATAAAACTGCATGTAAATATTATTGACGTATTTTTAGTATCTGAAAACTTATTTATTATTTGTGTGAAAATCCTTCGTCATTTCAAATGTTACAAAAAAAAGAAATTATAGAAAAATTTAAAGAATATTATATACTAGTACATCACAAAGGACTATTACTGAATGAAATTTAAATGAAAATAATCAATCTCGAATTATCCTAATGCATTGAAGCTTTCCTGCGGAAAATATAGCCAGGCTAGGTAAGTAGATGTACAGGCATATGTAATCACTGGATCCCCAATGCCACGAGCAAAGGAAGGAAATTGACGATAATGGAAATTAATATAAAACTACAAGTATACGAGCAAAAGTCATGGCCTGTAGGAAGGCGGAAAAGAGCCGTAACTGAACTTCTAGGAAAATCTGGGATCAACTGTGTATCCTCAAGCAGCGAGGCGGCATACCGGCAGAGTCACACAATGCTATCTGCTTTATCCTGGAGGTATATCTTTTTATCAGAAGTTTGACTGAATGAAATGAGAGGATTTTCAAAGGTCTCTGGATGACTCTTGCACCCTTTTTGGTCAAAATGTCGGAAGCCTCGTTCCCAGGAATCCCGCAGTCAGCTGGGATCCACTGGAAAGAATAGGAGAAGAGTAAGTAGATTTAAAAGGTAATCAATCCTTGACATTTATTTTTGAAGTCACCAATCATAACATTGCAATTTGCTGCTTGAGTGTCTATTCTTTGATAACATCAAATGTAGAACTCTTAAGGCTAAAAGCGAATTATTGCTATGTCTTGTAAGTACCACAGAGACAGAGAAGGATGTAAAGGACATTTTTATTGGATTCAAATAAAAATTAACAGACGGCACCACTCGTACTTACTTAAGGCAACTATTATGGCTTGAAACAAAGGTAACTGATTGAACAAAACTAAGAAACGTAAATTCAATAAAATTAATTTATTGAAATTTACTTCAGAGAAGCTTCCCGAGTAGACAAATACTATAAGATTACTATGCTTTGGCACTTTACTTAAACTTTAACAGATAGAAGAATTAGAGGTATATAACTTAAAAAATAAGTTTTTGTTAAAGAAGTCGAATTCAGCAAGAAAAATTAAAGGTTGTGGATTAAACTAAACTACAGGATTTTTATAAATAGGATGAACACACAGAATAAGAAAATAATAAAGGCCATACACGTAAGCTGTACAGGACAAAAGAGCACACAAATTCATGTAAGACACTCACACGTGCAATTATAAAAGGCAAAAATGTGAGAATCTAAAATTTCATTTTTAACAATTCAATTTTTCAGGACAGGACGTTTTATTCTAAGTAAAAATTCGAACGTTCCGTGAAATGTTTAAAAAGGCGTTGATAAGTAAAGGGCAAATTATTTATCTATTTCAAGAACAACGAAAAAAAAAAGAAAAAAAGAAAAAAAAGAAAAAAAAAAAAAAAAAAAAACTCATTGCATTATTAGTTATAATTAGTCCAAAGGGGCAATTTGCCCTGATTATTTGCCTTTGTTTAATTTTAATTTGGCATTTTGCGTTAAAACTTTAAAAGGCTGCATCACTTTTCAAATCGCTGCCATCAAATATTATCGCTCTGTATTATATTTGAAGAAATTAAATAATGAAAAATCTGCATAAATGTATGTATGTTTTTCGCATTGTGATAAAACAACGGTATCTAGAGCCATCCAATTTTGAATGACGTAATCCTACTGCGAATATGGTCATCTGGAATCCAAAATTTGGAATTTGTTTTATTATAGATTTTATATTTTGTAAAACGTTAACGAATTTTTCATTAATAAATTCAAGGATTTCAATGCGAGCGATGGCAACGTTGTACAGAAAAACATTTTTATTTCAAACGCGGAAGTCTGTATATCTGAAATTCTAAAGATATGCTCAATTTAAAATTATTTTGCGACATTGCTCATGAACTGAATTTTATGGTTTAAGTGATATTTAATAACGTGATATTTAATAAATAAAGGTAATACACAAAATGTTAAAAAAAACCCTTTGAACATAATTTAAAATCAGAAAACTTTCAGATTTTCTTTTTTTTCTTTTATTTTTAAAATAAACTTTTTAAAAATTTCTCTGGTTTCTTTGTTTTAAGAAAGTGAATTAACTAAAGTAATAAACTGATATTATTTTCATTTTTTACCTACCGTAGACTTTTATTCCTTTTCACAGTTTTGTTTGAGTAATTTCTTACAGCTATATTGACAGCCACCTGGTCACCGTGACCGAAGACTTGACGATCCAGAGTGACTTCTAATTCCAGGTGACCAGGACTGAGAAGGAAGTCCTTTTTGATGATAGAGCAAGGCTGCCTATTTCCGATTAGTTGGGCCCTCTGAACTTTTCTTATGGCCATAGAGACTGAATTCCTGTTAGAAATTGAAGTTTGTTTAAAATGAAACAGAAAAAAAAAATGTATAAAACATCTAAAATATTTCAAAATATTTCACTACCGTTTATGTCCTTTGTCATGCTGTGTGTTTCCAACTGTTATTCTGACTTCATAATATACTCCACATGGCTGACCTTGTTCTTCTGCACCAGGCTGTAGCACGACAGAATGTGGCGCATTTTCTGGTAGCTGGATAGCAAAGAGTATTTACAAATTTAAGTTCTCAGAAAGGGAATATTTTCTGATAGATTTCGTAATATTTAAGAGATCAGTGATGGTTTTTGTTTAAAACATTAGTGATCCTCATTTGCTGTTTAGCTTTGGTTCCGATTATGAAATTAAAAGCATGTTACTTTAAGCTGTAAGTTTTCTCCCCAACTGAGGTTTTCTTTAGATAAGTTGTGTCATAAATCAGCTTGGATGTCTTGTTTGAACCCCGATGTATATTACGTTCAATCCATCTGGCGTTAATAATCTTGTTCACTACCTAATTATCTACAGATTGAGCTATTAGGTAAGATTAAATGAGCGGGGGCCACTATAGTCTGTTACTTTAAAACTTTAATGTAGGCACTTTAGTGTCGTATCAATCCTCCCCATATTTACGATCGTAACGTGTGTCGTCATCACTACACAGAGGAAAGCACAGGAGTTTGGAAAATAATATGTTTGGACATTTTCTCCGTAGTAGTCGTTACCATGGTTATGAATTATGATTTGACAAAAATGACCTTTAAATGTCTATTGTAAAGTAACATACTATAAGAAAGCTTGAAAGGTGTACCGTCTTCCGCTGAGACAGTAAGAGGTAATTTTAAATCAATAATTGTTCCGAAAAGAGTAACTTATTTTACACTGTAGTTCATTCTTGAAGTTTCAGGCCTTCAGAATAATCCCGGAAAGCAAATATTTATGCTATGAATCGGGATTAAAAACATTTCTTTCGAAAGATATATTACTATCTGTTAGTGTTCCTTGTTTGTATTGCATTATGAAAGAAAATATGAAAGAGATCCCATGAAAGTACAAATAGAGGTACAAAAGTAGTATATTAAAAAATTCCTACCTGAAGTTTAGACGCTTATTTCAGAGACTGAAATGTAATTTATCTATTGTCAATACGTCCTCAGAAAATATGTTTGACTATCTCTTCATAACAAGCTACAATTACTGAGAATCTTTGGGAAGAAAGCTTTAGTAATTTTCTAAAATTAAAATTTCTAGCATTTCTTCAATACAAAATTAAAGCGAGCATTTTTTGTTAGATGTAAAATCAGAGAACTATTATGTAATCCCGAATTTGAATTTACGCTAAGCAAAGCTGAATCTAACGTTTAGAAGCATTTTATAAATGAGGTGTTTCTTGAATAAACCGAAAAATAGAAAATAACACAGAATTAATTAATGAGCTTCTGAAAACCTGTAAATCAGTGGGGAAATGCATCTTTTAAATCTTTTTCTTAAAGAACTAAGGAAATACAAGCGACAAGCAGAGAGAAACCAGAATGTATATAAGATGAAAACATGTTAAAGAAAATGAGATTACAGAATACTAATCGACTACTGTTTAACTCTAAGAAATTATGTAAGGGATTTAAAATCTATCAAAGAAACTCGACTAGGTGTTTAATCTAAGATTACAATCATTAATTATAATGATTAAACAGGTAAAAATGTACGTATTGTAAAAAATAAAAAGTGCTAAACAAATTTATGGTCATTCAAATGCAAGAGGCAAATTTATAGTCTTCAAATGCATAATCCAAGTGCCTTAGATTTTAAAAAAGTTTATTATTGACAATGCTTTACTGTACAATGCTTTACTTTACTTTCTTTATGCTTTGCTTTACAATGCTTTACTTTACTTTCAAAATAATTTATTGAACCTTTTTCCAACAGTATTTTTCTGTAACATTGCAAACATATCTTTGCGAGATCATTGTGATGACACGTCTATGTTGCACCCATTAGCGGCCGAGCGGTAAAGTCGCTAAACACTGGTAGTTCGGTCCGAGGTTTGAATACAGGTGAACGGGCTGGCTACATGGGCGTTTTCGTGGTTTTCTCCATGTGTATCGTGCATAGTTCCCCTTAGGAATTTCTCCACGAAGGCTATCCCTCTCCTTAGGCAGATGGCACCCGAGTGCTTTGCCATAATTAAATAAACCAAACCAAGCGTCTACTTTGCATTACGTCACATAATGCTACAGAGACGGTGTATGCCAGCTGTAATGTTCTGTCTTTTGACGTAGATGTGATTTAGCACTGTACCGTTGATGTCATATCACACAGTAACTTTGATGTGACGTCATATTGCGATGTTGCTGTAACATCCCTCTATGACGGTGATATGATATCACATGCAATGTCACTTTACGATATGGAAGTGATATCTTAATGTGACTTTGTATTAGATACCAGTTCCACTTTGATGCGATGTTCACTGAGAGATTATTATATTTTACTGCGATGTCTATGTAGCTTGTCATGGTGGTGTGATTGTAACTTAGAAAGCAGCGTTAATGTAAAATAAAACATAATGTAAATACAAAGCCACTATGGTGTTAAATGAATGATATTTTATCGTAATAAATCTTTGTTGGGAGTCTCTTATTAAAGCAAATGTAGTAATTATTTTCTTAATGTAGTAAATAGCTTTTTATAAAATTACGTGAAATATTTCAGGTAATCCAGGTTTCAAACTATCAACATCTTTAAACATCTTTCCAAATTGTTTTCCCAATTCATATCAACAGCGCACGCACTTGCTGTCATCGTTTTATAAAAAACGAAATTAAAATTAATTTGTACGAATTAGTTGTAGCTTTGGAAAATTATCCTTATCCTCTTTAAAAAGTTCATAATTTAATTTTATTTCTTTTCTTTATGCTTACCAATAATTATTTAGCTATTAAGTTGAGATTTATTTTCTGAGGATTTACAGTTTTTAAAATATTTTTTTGATGGAAATTATCATGAAAGCAGCATGCGAAAGGATTTAAGGAAGTATACATACCATTAGTTTGAAAGGATAAGCATTAGGTCCAAGTTTGCTGATAAGCCGCTCTTGCATCTTAGATCGAGTACCAACAGGTATTCCATCTTTCGTCTCAGGTGGATAAATCTGTTCAGAAGCCAAATACAGCTCTTTCACAAATTTTAGACCCATGACCTCATCATCCTCTCGACCATACCTAAAAGTGGCGATCACGTGGCCATACACATGACGCTGTTTCAAATATTCATCATCCAAAAGAACAACTCCCTCTGTTCAAAAGGAATTTGAAGTTTTAAATCATAAAAGAATAGCCATTTACTTAAAATTTATCGCTGAAAATAGATACAGTATTCATTTTAATTTCAGAAGATTAAAGCTTACCAAAACAATGTGGGATTCTCATATTACCTTGAGCTAATTCTTTTAAGAAAATGCCCAAATTGAAATTATATAGTATTAGTTAAATTAGTGTTTTATTAGTACTGTAATGAAATTGTTAGCTTACTGGAAGTCAGGTTTTTAAATATTTTACTAGCTTTTAGAGTTAATATTTCTAATAATGTTTTACGAACATCACAAATTTTTAAATGAATTGCACCTCTCTTATTCATTTAATTAATTTTTCTAGAAATTCGAAATTTGGTTCAATTTAATTTCTGCTTTTTTATTTTATACCTTATAAAGTTTGATTAAAATCTACCGAATTTAAATGTAAAGTTTCTTGATAGTATTAATTTAGTGATAAGAAATTGTGTAAAATCTAAGAATCAGAGGAAAAATCTGTCAGAAAGAAATTCCTTTCAATGAAGCAAGTAGTCACGAACACCGCAATAGATCAGAATCGCTGTTATACGCTGTTACAGCGGAAGAATATGTTCAGGAATATATAATGTTTGTTATTGAACGAGTCATGCTTGCCTGGCATAGAATGCAAAGATAAAATCACTTAATTCTCAGTGACAATGTAAAACTTCACTGTTTAATAAAGGGAGCTTAAGGCAATGGAACTCTGTCTGAAGGAAATTTTCTTCAGTGAAGCATTTAGAAACACCATTATAACAATGACACAGCTCATTTCATTATCCCAGCAGATGAAATTGTTTGTAGACTTTGGTTACACACTTCTTGTGGATAATCTTTTCTTTTGCTGATTGAATGAGATGGTTATCTGGCACATCATGCAGAAAATAAAATCTCTTCCTTTTCAGCTCCAATCTTAAATTTTATTGTTAAAATTAACAATACTCTATTGACCTTTCGAAATTTATAGAGTAGTCTTCAACTTACATTCCACAGAATTTTGGTGTTCCAATCAGTTTCTCCAAAACTCAAAATAAAAAATTCACAACAAGTCTCATCCTCAATAAAAGAATATTTATAGAGGACGTGGATCGCAAGGTTAACCATATGAAATATTTAATTAAATTATATTTTTTACTTGTTTTGTTATTGTTACCTAATATAATACAATATAAACCTGTTTCTATGAGTAAAGATGAAATAATGATTTTCCTTTCATTTCATTAAAGTGCGCAAAACATTGGTACATTAACGTTTATAAGGTAAGTCCCCACTGACATTAGGCGTTTATAAGGTATTTTCTCCCTACTTTCCGCATGCATTCGTTGTGTAACGGTTAGCACACTCGGCGCGTATACTCGAGGTCCAGGTTCGAGTTCCGGTGGGGATATTTCACATTTTTCACGTTTCCCGTACACAAAAATCCTAAAACTTCTACACGTTTTAATATTCATTCTTCTAAGAATACTAGAGCCCCCCAAAATACTTTTCTCCCAAAAATTAGTTTTATAGGTTTAAAACACTCTAATTTTAGCGATTCCCCAGAAGAAAGTTACAGTGGTCTTCAAGCAGAATTTTTCAATCTTAATCGAATCGGAAAATAATAGATTAAACTGAAGACCATTATTTTAGGACAGTGATTCCTAATGTTCTGTGTATATACTTATAAGGGAACAAACGAGCGTTCAAAGGCATGCAAAGATAAGTAAAAAGAAGGATTTAACAAGATTTTCTTATACTTTTATAAATAAAATACTACAGTAAGTTTTAGACCTTATGAGCTATTTTCTCCCTCCCTTCTACATGCTTTCGTGGCGTAACGGTAGAATACACAGCGCGTATTCGAGAGGTCCAGGTTCGAGTCCCGGCGAGGGCATTGCACATTTTTCATGTACTCCTGCTTCAAAAATATCTAATGATTCTAAAATGGCACCCGAACTAAAAACGTGGTGGATGATGATTCTTCACGAACAGGATTTGGCGATTGGGTCCCCTAATCCCCAGTCGATTTTAAAAGGGGGAGTATATAAGGTATTTTATCCCTCCTTTCTGCGTGCTTCGTAGTGTAAAAGTAGCGCACTCCGCTCGTATTCCAGAGGTCCAGGTTTGAGTCCCGGCTAGGGCATAGCTCATTTTTCATGTCTCCTGCTTCAAAAGAACCTAATGACCCTACAGTCTTCACAGGTACGGCATATAGTTCTGAAATAATATCAATACTAATTACTTATGATGAATGTTTTGCTGATGTGAAGGATATTGGTTCTGAAAATGGTTTACCAATGGTGTGAAAAAATGAAATGAACCGCTGTTATAAGCTTAAATTAATAGATCTGCTTCTGTTTCCAGTTTATCAAACTTAATCTGTTTGAAATTATTAGGAAAATTAATTTCATTTGGTGAATTATTAAAAGTGATGAAATAAAAATAAAATTATTCCTTACCGATAGGGTCCACATGTGTTATATGATCAATGTATTCTCTTTTTGGAAGATATAGCATCACCTAAAATAAAAAGATAAATTTACTTAAAATAAAAAAAGCAAGCTACAAAGTTTAACAAAATTTTCACTGAAGTTAAACTTTTTTGAGATTTCACTGAAATTCACTGAAGTTAAACTTTTTGAAAATTTTATGTTTCCAAATTTCTTTCAAAAGTTGCTTTTTACATTCACTACAGTTCTGAAATATGCCATCAAATGAAACAAATCTTAGATAATGATAGTAATCAAATAAAATCAGTAATGATAATAATGATGATGATGTAAAAATGATAGTAAATCAAATAAATTCATGACCTGTTTGGCGTTATTTTTAATTTAAAAGACCGCACATTTTCGAGATAGAAAGAAATTGTTATTCCTCTTCTATAGAAAATTGTTCTTTAAAAGAAATGTGAAACATTTTGCCTTTTTATAAAACTGTATAGCTTTAAATACTTTATTATTGTAAGTAATCTATTCTAAATATGTTACTTTTTATTTCCTTGCACAAAGTAAAGGAAGTATTGTAATCACGAAATATTTTGGGTACGGTATTTCAATGGAAATATCCATTTTGACCGTTCCTCGAATCCATTTAGACAACTGTTTTACTTGTCTTCTGTACGTACACATAAAATAAAAGACTCGTTTTTTTCTAAAACGAATTGTAAAATGCATTTGTAATGAATTCAGAAAGCTTTTTGCTTGTCGAAAAATTTTCTGTAAAGGTTTCCTGTTCTTGATGTGTAAAACTGTGCTCTTCTTCTGGCACATTTGTACAAATAAACTAAATCCACGCTTCATTTAATAGGAAGGCGGATCAAACAGTAAAATAAAATGTTTTCCTTTTTAGCTTGTAGAGTTTAATTTTAGTTTTTAACCAGTTATTTAATATTAAACTGCTTGCCTGTTTTCCTCGGTCTCAATTTCCCTGCTAGAATGTAAATTTCTAGCTCGCATTGTATTCAGATGAGGTAGGAAGAAAAGAGTATTTAAAGGAATGTTTTAGAGGGTAGAATCAGAGCGTGTTCTGTCCGCTGAAGTTCACGTTGCTAAATTGGATTCCTTGCGAGTAGTATTCTGCGGAGTTGCGTTATTCTTGCCGTTAAGCTTGCTGCGCCGGTCAGAACCAGCCTACGGGTTATTCTAATTATGTAGCCTTTAGGCTAATTTACTTTCCTTAGTTTTAGTTAATCAGTAATCTTTGATTTAAGCCATAATTCTGCAAGCACGGGTGGTGCCGGCTATTAACTTTTATTTGAGTCAAATAAAAGTCCACACCTTTTACTCCTTTTCGCCTGTCCTCTACACCTTTTCACATGTCTCACCTCTCACCTTTTCACCTTTTATGTACTCCTTTTCACCTGTCCTCTACGTCTTTTCACGTGGTACTTACAAGACATAGGAATAATTCGCTTTTGTTCTTAGGAGACTTTAACTACATTTGAAGTTACCAAAGACTACGAGACTTTATAAGGTTCTCAAGAAGCCAACTGAAGTGTTCCGACTGGTGACTTCAAAACTAAATATCGAGAATTATCTTTTTAATCTACTTACTCTCTCCTACATATCACTTACTTCTGAGCATTAGGAAATGTAACTTACCACAGGTACGAAAATTAACCGTAACAGTTTTCTTTTTATAATATCACTACAGTTAATTTGTAATGCGTTTTATCATATTCGTATAGTATTAGAACGGCATGCTAAATGCATTTTACTTCATGTATAAAACTCTAAGCATTTCTCTTAAAATGCATTTTTTTAAAAGTCGGTTTTACCTTATAATAAAACTAATATTTTCCTAGACAGTGTTTTAAATATTTTAGTATTTTTGGAAAATACTAATAATTCATTTCGTATCATTATTCAGCACATTTTTAGCTCAAAGGGGCGGCAGCCACAGAATGGCTATTAATCCCAAAAGGACATTTTGTGGCGTTCACTATCAAATGGGGATTTTCTTTTTCAAGTTGTTGCCACAAAATATTATCGCCCTGTATTATATTTAAAGAGATTAAACAATGAAGAATCTGCATGAATGTATCTATGTTTCTCGCATTGTGAAAAAACAACAGTACCTAGAACTATCAAACTTTGAATAACATAATTCTCCATCCAAACATGGGCATCTGGGCGCCTGAATTTTTAATTTCGAATTTGTTTTATTATCTGTTTCATGTTTTGTAAAACTTAAACGCGATTTCAAAACGAGTAATGGCAACACTGTACTAAAAAACATTTTTATCTCCAGCGCGCGAGAGTGTGCATTGGAGCTCTAAAGATAGGCTGTTTTTAAATATTTTTAGCCCAAAGGAACTCAATGCTCTCGAACCATGTATGTGTATGTAAGTGAAAACAACGCCTTGCGTAATATAAAATCTGAAAGCCTTCAGTTTTTTTAAAGTTTTAAATCTGTTTTATTGTACCTTTTATAGCAGCAGCACAGTCAATGTAATGTGTGATAACGAATGAGAATATATACTACATCATTATTTCTTAAACTCCTTTATTAAGCAGATACAAGTATATAAGCCTCTATTGCATTTTTTTAAAAACCATGTTATTCGTTTTCGCAAGTCGAGTAGGATTATCAATTTATCGTACCTAATTTTTTGTTGTGATGTGTTTTTCAATCTTTTCGTCAAGAAATAAGCCAGTGTAACATTTTAAAACTGACGTGATTTGTGCTTTGATGATTTTTGCTTTGATAGAGCTAAAAAGAACGAAAAGAAAATATTGTTTTAAATATTCCTCATATACTGCTATGCTAGTTTGTGTTTTATTGAAAGGGGTTACTAAAAAAATAGTTCTCCTCTTTATTGATATTGTCTTACTATTGTGATTTTAAGTTTAAAATTACACTGTTGTACAAAAAATCTGTAATTTCTCATTTATCATGTCTTTCATTTTTAATTAAACATTAAAATACAAAATATAGATGATTAAGAATGATATGAGAAACATTATTTTCATCGTAAGTATAAATAAAAGGCTGAACAATTGCCATTTCAATGGCAACTGCTATTTTAAACTCAGATTAATATTATGATTTAATGACGAGCAGCAATTAAAGGAAAACAAAACGTTTCTCTTCAATATGTAATAAATACGCCACCGTACAATCACCTTCTTAAGTACGAACGCGTGCTAAATACGAATGTATTTACGTACGGGTTCATAGGATGCTAAATATGAAAAACAAACAAACAAATGAATAAATAATAAAGAAATCTGAAAGGTTTCGAGATTTCAAAGGTCTCCCAAAAGAGTCTGTTATCGTTTTTTACGTTCTCGTTGCGTTCGCAGTCTACCAGTCTGCTGTTACCCTACTGACGCATTTTTTGTCTTTTTTTAGCTTTATTATTAAGAACCATTTTCTTTACAATTACGTCTTATACAATTCAAAAGCAAAATGAGGAAAATTTTAAAAGCAGCACAGCATTGTAGAAGTAGAATTCCCGATGCAGCATAAGAATTAGCATTAGAATTCCCGATGCACAGCATTAGAATTTCCGATGCACAACATTAGAATTCTCGATACAGCGTTAAGTTGTTGGCATACGTTTTTCTGTCCCCCCCAGTCCTTTCTCGGCTTGTCATATAAATATTCAATTTTCTTACAAGATGATTTTACAAAATTATCATGTTCTTTGCAATTAAACCACATAAAATTCGATTCAACAGTAAAATCGCCAAATATTTAAAAACAGCATATCTTTAGAATTTCGGATTGACATGCTCGCTTTCAGATCGCTGAGTTAATCAAAATTCGGTAAAGTTTCATAAAATATGAAATAGGTAATATAAGAAATACAGGTGAACATGTTCAGGTGGAGGACTGCGTTATTCAAAATTTGATAGCTTTAAATTCCGTCGTTTTTTCACAGCGTTTAAACCATTTAAAAGCTCTTGAGTGGGATAATGCTTCCTCGCCGTAAACTTGTTTTAACATTTCGTAGGTTTCCGCAGCAGTCTTGCCCAATTTGAAGCAAAATTTAATGTTAATTCTTAGCTCCATTTTCACTTCGACAATAGGAATTTAAGAGCTACGTTTTAATGCGTCTTTCCATGAGAACACTTACTTCAGAATGGCGCCGATTGCGCTGCACATGCGCAAGAAAACGCTCTTCAATATGCAATCATTCGCGCCATCTTCCGACTTTTCGTTCTCCTACAGTTACGTCAGTCCTGGAAATTAATAGCCGGACCTTGTATATATTTCACGCAGATTCTGCATTGTTTAATTTCTTTAAATATAATACAGGACGATAATATTCGGTGGCGACAATCTGAAAAGTCATACATCGCATTTAAAGGTTTGGACTCGAAATGCCTTTTCGAGAGTGATATCCCATCTGGCACTAACGTCCCTCTTAGGGTAACAAACAAATAAACCCAAACAAGTTCTATAATACAAAACCTATTCTAGAGCCCGTTATGTTATTTTCCTGTATGTAGCTTTTTTGATAGTCAAACATATTTCATATGAGATTTGATATGACATCAAGGAAATGCACATCATGAATCATTTTAATCGCAGCTATAAGAAGTATAATGGAAATAAAATTACAAATAAAATATTTTATAAATTGTTCAAAGGAAGATTTTCCAATTTTTTAAAAGAGTAAGTAACTTTTTACTTTGAAAAACATTCAGGCCTTTTAATATTTAAGACCTGTGTTACATTTCTTAAATCTGAAAACATCTGAAAAAGATAGCAACGGTGCGGTTACAATACTACGATATGTTTAGAAGAACTATTTTATTGAAAAACATTTACCTTCGCATTAGGTGAGCCTTTCTTGTATATCCTACAAGTCGCAACCATGATCTCAAAATTTCAGGTAACGATTTAAACGCTGATGAAGAAAACAGCAATAGATCAACCAGAAAGTCAATCAAGACTGAAACGTAGAATCAGCAACGTCAAAGAGAGAGTCCCTATAACTGATTCTCTGTTTCATCCAATTATAAATCGAACGCCTTTATTCTCCCGAGAAGCATTTGTAGAGATTCGAAACATCACCAATCCAAAAATAGAAAAATCGATCGTTAGCTAACATGAATCTTATTTTAGTGATGTTTAAGTTTATGAGATTTAAGTATTTTCATGTCAGAAGTTTTTTGCATTAAACTTATATACGTATATATATTCAAGTGCTTATCAGTTATTTTCGATTTTGATTTAATGCAGTATATAGGAAATTTGCAGCTGCTGTTTCATCTAATGGTTTTGCTTCTAATGGTTTAGTTGATTATGGCAAAGCACACTAGGGTTATCTGCCTAAGGGGAGGGATGCCTTCGTAGAGGACTGTATATCGATAAGATTATATCTAATATGTAATTCTCATACAGTGGTGCCTGGCATAATGGACGTAATCTATTTCTCGATGTCTTTCGTTATATGAATGTTTCCTTATGCAGAACGCTTTTATTATACGAAAAGCTTTTGTTATGAAATCAGTATGATGTTGCTCCATACATTATTATGGGAATAATCTGAAATCGTTCGGAACTTGGTTCAGAATAATGAAGTACAGTAAATTTCAGATACAAAGCCTATCTGCATAGGTTTGGTCTATCCAACACAGACATCTGCGACTGTGGGAAAGTGGGCAGTCCAGACCACTATTACTTTGACCGCTTGACGGCGAAGTTCCATCTAAAAAAACCAGCACCCATGTTTCGCGCAGCATGGTGGAATAATATTCAATATAACAATGTTGCTCTATCGAAACTATATGCTGTTACTACCTACTGCGCTGCAAAATCGCAGTAACCTGGAACAGCACTCATCGCAGTATTTAAATTTTTATATATACATATTTTTAATTTATCTTTTTTATATATATATATAGTTATTTAACTCTTTTGTTATAAAAATCTTTGTTCCATTGAATCAACTTCTTGACATATACAAATATTTGTACTCATCCGGTGTAACACATTGTTCATACAGTTATCTAACTTTCGTAATATAAGAGTTCATTCCAATATGGTAAATATGCCAATCTAACACATGAAATACCAATAACAATGTTGCATAATGTCATTTATATATTTCTGTAGTGTAAAAATCTTTCTTTCACATTGATTGTCATAACTTAAATGTAGCACATTTGACTTATTTATTGACAAAATGTAGTACTCATTTAATGCACTGCCAAATGCATATATGTGTATACATTCAATATAATTTCACTTATATATAGTATTGATTTATGTTATAAGAGTGATCATATGTAATACTGTGCTATTCAAAATATCTTGTAACAAAAGAAAATAATATGTACTGAACAAAAGGCCTTGTATGCCAATGTAACTGATTTCCACAGAAATGACGTTCAATTCCGTACGGCACGAACTAGGACGGATGTCATTTCCGCGGTGTATAGTAAATTTCAGAGAATACTGAAAAAAACATCGGTCTTTCAAATGCTAATAATTTACTGATTTACTAACTTATTTACTTACTTACCTCAAGCTGAGTTGCTGTACCGCATGTTATATGACTATCAGCATTTGTACTCAATTGGTGGAGCATTCTATTATTGCTAAGCCTAGCCAAAATCTCTGTATAATATTAAATTTAATTAAAAATTAAATAAATTTAAAGCTGAATTTATAAAGTCGGAAGATAGGTATTTGTGACCTGTGGTTATTAAGGAGACTCTGTCAAGACTCTGACAGTGCTGAATGATTTCTTTTTTTAAGATTGCTTTTAGATTTTTGCAGTTTATAACCAGGTAGTCTATGAGAGTCTAAGCTAGTACTACGAAGCAAACTTACAACTGGATTTCCTAACTGCAAAAATTTGCGCATTTATAAAATCTCACAAGTTTTTTTCCTATTTACTTTCAGTCTTTCACTGAATATTAAAGACTTGGCCGCCATATAAAAAATATTTTCTTCTTCCTTAACAAATGCCACCATGTTGTTGTAGATGGCATCATGTTCTGTAGTTGGAGAATGTCTGGATGGCAATCTGGAGGTCCGAAGTTCAAACTCCGGCGAAAGTATAGCTTTCTCACATTTTCTGCCCTAAAAATGTTCTAAATGGCTTTAGAAATGACACTAGAACTAAAATAAGACGGATGATAATTCGTCTCCATGATTTTGTGAATAGAGGCCCACTTTCCCAGTCGTCTTTTAAGAAGAGAGAGAATGTACCGAGTTTTCTCCTTCCTCATCACGTGCCTTCGTGGTGTCATTGAAAGCGCATCCGTCTAATAATCGGCAGGTCCGAAGTTCTAATCCCGTCAAGGGCACTGTTGATTTCTCTAGTTTCATGGCTTCTAAAAATTTTAGAGAATTCTACAAGAGTTGACCGAATTCAACGGTCATTGGACGGTAATTCGTCACCATCAGGGATTCGGCGGCTGGGTTGTTTCTTTCCCAGTCACCGTTTAAGGGGAGAGATCCTGTCTTCGTGATGCAATTGGAAATAAAATGAGAATAATAATTCGCCAATTGCGAGGTCCGAAGTTCGAATGCTGGTGAGGACATTGTTAGTTTTTTATATTTTCTGGAGGAGGAGCTTAATGATTTGACAATTCTGAAATATCTTCGTTTGATTTTGTGGTAGGTCTAGGTTTCAAGAAATAGAATGGTTTCGAAGTTGTCTGAATTGGTTTTCATCTCCTTTAAGACTGTTCTGTTATCTCCTTTAAGACTGTGGTATTGCAATTGAATAGGTCACCTACATTATTCATCTCAGTGTATCTGTCTAATTAAATAAAATTTCAAAAGAATGAAATGTGAAATCGGTCTAATTTTCACTTTTCAGGAAGTTTCTTGATAAGTTGCATTTGGAACGGATCATTGCATTCTTTTCCTAGAGGAAATTCGCTTTGGGCTATTTCATGTACCTAGTCAAGAAATATTTGCAATGTTTCAGTGGTAACGTAATATTAAGAAATACAGTTACTTATCCATTCTTCTTCTCGTGAAGTGGTTTACACGCAGATCATGCTTTGTATTTACGTGCTTTTAGAACAAAACGAAAAAAACAAAATAGCTACATGTTTACTGTGGGACGAATTTGCAAGTATAACACGAGACCGAGTTCGGTATGCGAGACATTCATTCGTTATGCGATGCGCCATAGCATTTAATTAACACTCAAGAAAATAAATTCCCCTAAAACTTTGTTGAGTTTATCAGTGAATTAATAGTGAATGAGCCTAACACCAATCATTTTATACAAGCACAGATTTAAAACTCAACAACTCTATTTGATCACTCCCGATGTGTTAACAAAAATTCTGATGTGTACATCACATGGCTTCCTTGTACGGAATATTAAATTATACGCATTTTTTCTTGCATTTCATTTAAACATATTGGAATGAAATGAATTAAATCTAATTCGCCGATAGTGCATAAACCACGATAAAATAAATCCACTCTTCAAAATTCACTATATTTGTTTACCATAATGACACTCTGGTGCGATGTTCCTTTAACAGCGTTACATCTCATTCATTTTATAACTCAAAACGAAAAATATATATATATATAATCTGAGGAATTATCTAATCGTTGCTACATGTTGCTACATCGTTGCTACATGAATTATCTAATCGTTGCTAATTCAAGTTATATTAAAATAATAACAAAAAAAAAAAAAATAAAGGAACAGTTTTTCACAGATGATTTAGTATTTCTCATTCAATTAATTCAGTTCTCACTTCACGACAAGGCAAAAATACATAAAGACTCAACGTATCTGTATTAAAAATTACGAAGTAAATCTTAAACACTTATTTCCTGGAATAAATTCTAGAATTCATTAAGCATGATTTAGTTCGAAATAATGAATGAAGGAGGTTATCTTTGTTGTTGCGAAGCTTAGTTTCTCTAGATTGGCAACAAATCCGCTATTCTGCTAAGTTTCAAATGTAAACAAACATGGGTGCCATGTTAAAAATAGTTAGGCTTAGCCGCACTTTTACCAACTTTTAAATTGTTGATAATTCTACAAATATTGCATGGAGATTTACTAAAAGCAAAAAAACCTTAACCAGAAGTTAAGAACAGCATAATTCAATAATTTTTAAAGCAAAACGCACAATTTACAAATCTATAAGAATAAAGAAACTGAGATCACTGAGCCGAGTAACAGAGTGAATATATAAATGCATATATTTATATACTTTTGGTGCGGCCGATTGCAACCAAAATACGAGGTGCACATCTACATGTTATAGCAGTCCTATATACAAAATTTCAACGTTCTGAGCTACTCATTTTTGAGTTATGCGAGATACGTACGTACGTATAGACGTCCCGAAAAATTCTCTTCAGAATTAATTTAAAATGAGTTTTGTAATTGTTTTGGAGGAAAAGAGTCTTTATTCTGTCCTTACGTACAAATGTCATGCGAAAACAGTTAAATTGCATTCCATAGCGGTCAAAATGTATATTTTCTTCGAAATATGATACTTGAAATTTTTCGCGATTACAATACTTCATTACTTAATAAAAGGAAGTAAAAAGAGTAAATAATAGCCGGTGCTATCATTTATTTAATATGATTCCTTTTAAATATGGTATATGTTAAATTCTAATAAATATTTTAATTAATATAATTATTTAATAAAAAGTTTTATTTATTTTAACTGATTGGAGAGAAAGAGTTTCCAGTGACGAATATGTTTTTTGAAATTTAATTCAAGTTTAAGGCAAGTGGAACCCCATATACCGATAATGTTAAATTGGCAACTTTCGATGTACCTTTTCCCAAAATCTGCTGTAGGTACATGTTTGAAATTTGAGTAATTAAAGTACACCTATATGATTATCCTGAAATGAACTTTTGAAACATTTTGAGTTTTAGAGTAACTTATAGAATATTGTATTAGGCATAGTAATATTTAGCACTTTTCACCCAAAATAATACTTGTGAAATTTCTCTTTTTAGTTTATCA